ATATATATATATATATATATATTAAAATTAGAATTCTATTCAAACATAATTTATTTTCATTGTTTTGTTGTCTTTGACATAATTGTCTTTTAAGGAAATAAAAATATACTATCTAGCTATGAAATTGTACTTTGAAGATCCTTCTTCAAAGAAACCTAATGCATTATTTTCAAAAGTTAGCTGAAGCATTCCATGGGACTTTGTTCAAATCCAATCAATTCAGATGAAATTTCGGGTGGTCAAAGTAAGTTAACAGAAGGAATTCTGGGGGTTTCCCATTTCCCTGCCTTTCATTTCACCATTGTCCCAACATCGCATCTTATATTCATAATCACTCATTCATCAGAATCCTTCATCCATTCAGTAGGGATATTAGTTCTTAAAAGAAAACAACATACACTAACACCAATTGAAAACCCCTGTGACATTGAATTATTAACTCATAAAAAAAGTATGAACTTTCAATTTATTTAGTTAATAAATGTTTACTAAATAGCTTAGCAATTATGCTGCATGGTATTTTATATATACACATGTGTAATATTTATTAATATGAATTAATAAAATTAATATTGATTACATTTTTAACATGAATATAAAGGAAATTTTTGTATTATTGCAGTTAAATACTACCAAATCTTTTAAGATTTATAACATTGTAGAGGCACTACAACTTACCACATACCGACTGTTATTACGGTTGTGTAAAATGATGTGATTTTGCAAATTTGGTACTTCTAATGTTTCAGCTTTCATGTGAAAGTCTCTGTTCATATATTAGCTTGAAGTGAAGCACTACATGTCTATTTTCTAGAATTTTTGATTACTCATTTTGAAAGTATAATTCATGTTGTTGCAAACATTGCCAATTGCAGCACTGAATCTATTTGTCTGATGTTCAACAGCATGCACTGCCCTAGCAAAGTTTCTTTACCTTTAAAAATGTTCATCTTCACATTCATTTATGAACGAATTTGTCAAAATCTGCTAACCCTTCAAGAAATGTTGTACAATATAATATTTTGAAATTTTTTCAGGTAACATATGATAGTTGAGTTTTCTTGATATTTATATTGTAGATATTTTGTTTTATCATAGAACATTTTTTAAGGCTCTTAATAGTTTAATTGAAGTGAAGCTTTCAGAATGTCACTGAAGAGCAGAAACTCTTTCCGAATGGAGGTCTTAGGGAAACAATGTGGAGCCTTTTTTAAGAAAATGTTTCTGATAATTCACCATTTTGGTTACCTATTTACTCTTCAAAACTTTTGGGATTTTGAAAAACTTCATAACAGGTCATTTGAAGTATTTATGTTCACAATTGTATTTAAGTATAAAATACCTTATAAGAATAGCAGGGCAAAAGAAAAAAAGATGTGATTTAGTGCATTGTGATCTGCCTGCACAAAAAGATAAAGAAGAAAAAAATAGTTTCTAAAAAAATTTTGTTACATATTTTTGGAAAATTGTCAGGCTTTGATCAAAATTATGCAAAAATACCTAGGTAAGGTGTAGCTGAGAGATATTAAACATTCATTTAATCATATAAATATTTAGTATAAGTTTGTATTTAAAGAAACATAATAACAATGTCTATAAATAAAACAGTAATAATTGTGGAGAGTTAAAACTCAACCAGGAATTATTTTTAATCAATTATATGTAATAATTAAAAGCAGCTAATTAAATTAAATTGTAGTGCGTTCCAATTTGATAAGTTTAGAGAATTATAATTAAATAAGTACATAGTTAAAAAAGGCATTATTTAAATTAAAAAAAATTGATTTAAATAAAATCTTATTAAAATAAAAAAAAGGTTTTGTTTAAATAAAAAAAATACAACAATCTTTTTCCTACTCTTCTTTAAGAACTTGTGCTCCATTGGAGGGTAGGGCAAAAATTGACAAACACAAAGAAATAGAATTTTATGTAATGCATCAAGGTGATGTGTAAAAGTGACTGGTTTTACATTGGTGACAGTCAGTGTCCAGTTAGGATGTATTATGCTGAACAAAGTTATAGGAGTCATTGAGGAAACTTTGATGCAGTTATAGCAAAGTTTGCACCTTTAATTTCTTACCTCAGCATAACACATTTACTAAAGGTATAACACATTTTCTATAGAAGGCTTCCTTAAATTGACTTGGGTAGTGTAATGTATTTTGGTTTGACAACTGAGATTGCCAACTGAGGTAATTTATTAGATACTGGAGGTTCAGGAACATTTTCAAACCATAGGCAGTTTAAACCTTTGTTTGCATTATAGACGGTTTTTATTGCTTTAAATGTTAAAAGGTGGCGTCAATAGCACAGACTTGGAGTATCCTCCACAGAGCATCCTCCACAAAGCATCCTCCACTTAGTCCATGCAGTTCTAAGGCTGGGGATTTGTGTCTCACATATGCCATGGCCATTTT